ACTGATGACAACCTTACTAAATTGTTTAAAGTTGCTCTTCAGCTGAACAACAAAGAGGTGTCTGTTCCCTACACAGACTATTTCTCATGATTAATAAATCTTAGAACTATACAATTCTCTCTTGTAAAAGGAAATTTTATATCAAATCTCAATAAAATCATAACTGCTGCTTGACCTGACAATCCCTAGTGAACCACAAAACAGATTACATCTCGCGTTATATTTAATTTACACAAGATTCTTAACAAGCTAGGTAGTTGCGGTTAATTCAATAAGCAATAAAGAGCCAATGAAAGTTTATGAGCAAGGAAATATTACGATCAGAACAGCATGACAGAGAGCTTGCAAAATGAGATCAATTTGCCTTCCCATACTAAAGTAAAATAAAATAAACAAATGACATTGAAAACATATTTTTAAAATGACAGGGAAAATTTAAGGCTATATTTAATTGTGTAAATTATCGGGAAACTTACTTACCAAAAGAAATATACAATGGGAATCATTAAAAAGCTATTAAAAATTCTAAAAGTGGAAAAGTATGGAAAGCAGGAAATTAAAAATTCAAAAAAAGTGGAGTGTGCCTGTACTCCCACACGCCCTGCAATATTCCTGCTTTGTTCTCTCTACAGCCCAATTGAGAAGGCAGTGCAGAATATTCATCTGTAAAAATGTGAGAATACACAGAAAAGATAGGGTGGAAGAGCTTAATCACTATATAGTTTTAGGTCCACAAAAATTACTGTCACAGATAGTAGGGGTACACTGGAGGAGAATGAAAAGCAAGCATAAAATAGGAAGCCACTGATAAACTATTACTGTGGCCAAGCACATGGTTCTGCCCTTACGGAGTTAACAAATATTGCCAAAAAATACAGAGCAGATCTAGGGAAGTATGGAGATGAGCAAACGAGAGTCAAAGATGGCAATCAATCTTCTGAAAATATAATACATAAATTGAGATAGATTTTTGACAACTTTTGCTTTCTGTATGTATGAAATGAAGACACTACTCAATAAGGTTACTGTAATGACTTAGAATGTATATATGCACTACTATACTGACTGGTCCATAATTTGAATTCAAATGTTATATCTCTTTCCATAAATATTCTTTCATTAGCATCAGTAATGCAATGAATATGGCACAATAGCAATCAAAATTTTATTTGAGAGTGGTCCAAATTTCTAAGACAAGATCCAAAAGCATGAACTTGGCGGACTAGGTATTATTTTATAAATATAAATGAATGATGCTATAGGATTCAGGCAAGAGGAAATAAGGTACTTAAAGAGTTCAAACTGAGTTTTTTACAGTGGGTAAGATTCGGACAAATGTCAATGGATAAAGGAAGATATGAAAAAGAGAAAATGCAAGATGAAACTTACTAACCAGAAAATTCACTTGAGAAAATGTTGAGTAAGGTGATTTTACAAAAAGAAAAAACAGTCAGGCTGAAGTCTGTATTAGAAAATCATTAAAAAGGCTGAACATTAGGCTGGATGTAGATTATGAAGAGGATCCAATGTAATAAACAAGGAGCTTTCTCCTAAAGTAGTGGTTCTTAAAACGTTTTGCCTTTGGGACTCTGTTGCACTCTTAAAAATTACTGAGGCTCCAAAAACCTTTTTTTTTTTTTTCTGGGTTAAATCTATCAATTTTTCTTATATTATAAATTGAACCTAAGAGATTTTTACAACACAAAAATACAAAGTGCTCATTCCATTAACTGTCACTGATGATGAAAATCACACGTTATGTAGCCTCTGGAAAACTAAACCGTATTCTTGTAAGATAATTAGAGTAAAATAAAATGTCATAATATTGTTACAAAAATGCATTTTAACCTCTTTGATCCCCTGAGGAGTCTCAGCGAATTCTGGGTGTTTCCATATCCATTTTGAGACTGGCCTTTCTATAGCAATGAGAATGACCAAATCAATGCAGGGAACTGTTTTTTGTTTTCTTCAGCAAGGAGAGATAAGAAAGCCTTCCTCAGGGATCAGTGCAAAGAAATAGGGGAGAACAATACAATGGGAAAGAGTATAGATCTCTTCAAGAAAATTTGAGATACCAAGGGAACATTTCATGCAAAGATGGGCTCAATAAAGGACAGAAATGGTAGGGACCTAACAGAAGCAGAAGATATTAAGAGGCAGCAAAGAACTGTACAAAAAAGATCTTCATGACCCAGATAAGCACGATGGGGTCATCACTCGCTTAGAGCCAGACATCCTGAAATGCAAAGTCAAGTGGGCCTTAGACATGGAACAACAGACTGGTTCCAAATAGGAAAATGAAGTGAAAGAGGAGAGTGAAAAAGTTGGCTAAAAGTGCAACATTCAGAAAACTAAGATCATGGCATCCGGTCCCATCACTTCATGGCAGATAGATGGGGAAACAGATGGAGGCCTGGCGTGCTGTGGTTCATGGGGTCGCAAAGAGTCAGGCAAGACTGAGCGACTGAACTGAACGCAGTGAAGACTAGAACAGAAAGACACAGGAAAAGCCCGAGATTTGGCATAGCAGTGAGTGAGGTATGATGACCACAGCCAAACAACATTTACAGAAAATTTCCCAAGCCTAGAATTGCAAATAGCAAAAGAGGAAAGAACTGATTTACTTCTTTTCTTAATTTCATTGTACCGCTTTTTCCCTCGCGTGGTCACACCATACCCTCGTTTTACTGATTTTCTTTCAAATACTACCAAGTTCCGTCGCTGTCCTGGTGGTTTAAATCACCAAGACCACCGCCACCAACAATAAATTGTGTTAGGCACAAGTGACATATTTTAGCAGAAACTTATCACAGACTTTGAAATTTGAAAACTTGGAATCCAGTTCTTTCCACATGATTTACTAGAAATGGGACCCCAGGCAAAAACTGTTACCTCAGCAAGCCTCATTCTCCTCAGTAGAACTGCAGTGTTACATTTGCATTGAGTGATAGGTTATGAAACAACTATACTGAAGAAAAATAATTATGCTAAATAAAATGATGCCTAAAGTAAAATAAAAATTATGCATATTTTATAGATGATAACATTAACACATTCTTATGGTAGAAAACATGGGGAAAAAAATCTTCCATAATCCTACAACCAGACATAACTACTATTAATGTAATTATTCCTCCTGATAGTGTTTTAGTTGTTATATAGAATAGATAATTATATTAACATAAAGAGTTGTTTCTTTAATTTTTTTTCTAAACTTTAATTTCTAAGGTCATTACAAATTCCCAGAAAACATAACTTTAAGGAATATTTTACCTCATCAAGTGAAATATCATACTGTTCAACTAGTCTTCTAGTCATAGATATTTAACTTCTTCCAAATCTTTGCTATATATTTTTAAAAATACTACAGAACACTGTTGTTGTTTAGTCACTAAGTCATGTCTGACTCTTTTGGGACCCCATGGACTGTAGCCTGCCAGACTCTTCTGCACATGGGATTTCCCAGGCAAGAATACTGGAGAGGGTTGCCATTTCCTTCTCCAGGAGATCTTTCTGACCCAGGGACCAAACCTGCATCTCCTGCATTGGCAGGTGGATTTGCTACCACTGAGTCACCAGGAAAGCCCCTATATGAACATGCCTGTATATAAATACTAAGATTTGATTTTTTCGACTGTCTATGGAAAAAGAAGAGTGTCAACAAAAAGTAAAAATAACTGGCAAAACTGACCAAAATGTTTATTACAATGCACTCTATCCTTATCAAGTCCAAAATACATTCAACTGGAACTGGATTTTTCTATCTTTGCTGTGTGTTTCCCTGTACCCAGTATTCCCATTGTTGGGTTGGATTGTTGCATCCCAAAATGTACATCTACCCAGAAGTTAGCCTTATTTAGAAAAAAGTAAGTATCTTTGTGGACATGCTGAAGGTAAGGACCTTCAGATAAGATCATGTGTACTAGGGTAGGTCCTAAAGAGTGTTCTCAGAAAAGCAGGAGGAAAGATATGCAGGAGAAGCATCCCTCTGAGAACGGAGGCAGAGACTGGAGTGATGTGCGTACAGGCTGCACAACGCCAAGGACTGCCAGCAGCCACCAAAAACTAGGAGACAGACGTGAAGAGGATACTGTATCAGAGCCTGCAGAAACAACGAAGTCCCACCGCCACCCTGCTTTCAGACTTCTGACCTCCAGAACGTGAGAGAAGGAAGTTTCTGGTATTTTAAGCCACAAAGCTTGTGATAATTTGTTATGGCAGCCTTAGGGCCTGAAGATAATCTCCAATCACATTTTAAATCAATGTCTCGTCACTGTTTCAAAAGACTCATCATCTATTTTCCACTAAATTTCCCTGAATTCTCCCATTAATATTTGGTTACATATCATTTTTTTAAAGCACTATGAACATCACCTTACTTACATGTTGCATCCATTAATGATAATCTAGTTGCAGTTCTAATGTAGTTTTTGTTTATTCAGTCATAATATAAGTTCCTCGCAGGCAGAGATTGTATCTTAGATGCCTTAGTTGTCATACATTTCACTTAATACAGTGCTATATACAGTGTTATGATTTAATGGTATCCTATTTGCTAAAAAAAGGATGACTAAAAACTTTTTTATGTACATTAAATCATCTTCATGGAATAGTTCAGAATGCTCATGGGATCATTTAAAAGTCAATATATTTTCCTGCTCTTAAAACTGAAGCCTGGTCTTATTTACATCCTCACTGCCTATTGTTTTAAAAGATCAATATCTATTGTCAATGACTTAAATATCTACACTAGGAATCTAACAATATTCCAGATACAGCAAGAATTATGGAAGTTAGAAGGGATATAACAGAATAAAGCACCAGTAAAAACCTTTTCTGTAGATGTTAAGATGTGGCTACAAACAAAAGAAGTTCACCATGTAATATTCATATTATGTTTTATAGTTACTTAAGGAACAGTTGTTTAACAATTTTCACAATTACCTGGAAAAAAAGAACAGTATTAAACAACAAAAAAAAAATCTAAGTATACAACATACCTGAGTTCGTAAAATTTCATTTTTTGACAACTGCATGTCACCAGTCAGTTCTTTCACAACAATGCCCAGTGGCTCCAGACGTTTGCTGAAGTAATTTGTCATTTCAGCTGCCAAGGCTTTCATTGGAGCAACATATACAATCTGCGCCCAAGAAACACTAGCTTGATGAATGAGTAAAACTACAATGTCATTTGTTTCAAAGAAGTCAACTGAAGTCATATTTATTGTGATATATGATTCTAGCCACTTATGGTGAAAAATCTTAATATTGATAGATGAAAAATACTTATCTTTGTTGTATAAGTGTACATCTGTTTAAAGAACTACAGAATGGTTATATAGCATCATCACTTTGAAAATTGGTGCTTTAAAGCTAAGTGCATTTTGATAGCTTTCACAGGGGTAGTGGGACTTTCATAACACAAAGAGGTATTGCCTAAAAGTAATGAAGGAAACCATGCAGCATTCTCTATATGACTTCCTGTGTAAAATCCTTAAAAACTACCAGATATCAGACAAACTATACAACTGCAAAATGGTTTTAGATTTTACAATTTAAAAAACTGTTGCTCAATTTAATTCCTACCTTAAATTCATTCTTTTTGATAACACCTTGCTGAAAATGTTGGCGAATTTCATGTAAAACTGTAAGCATCGCAATGTTGGTTTTTCCAGCTCCAGTAGGGGCACAAATCAGCATGTTCTCATTGGTGTTGTAGGCAGTCTCAAACACAATTGACTGGATTCTATTCAGTCTCCTCATTCCTTTAAAAGCCAGCTGGCCAATCTAAAAAGAAAAACAAAAAATATCAACAATAAAATGAAAATGTAAAGGTCCCACACAAAACATCAAATGCCATCTTTTTTTAATTAAAAAGAAAGACTAATTTATTTANGCACAAATCAGCATGTTCTCATTGGTGTTGTAGGCAGTCTCAAACACAATTGACTGGATTCTATTCAGTCTCCTCATTCCTTTAAAAGCCAGCTGTCCAATCTAAAAAGAAAAACAAAAAATATCAACAATAAAATGAAAATGTGAAGGTCCCACACAAAACATCAAATGCCATCTTTTTTTAATTAAAAAGAAAGACTAATTTATTTAGTCTCTCATATCCTATATTTAAGCTGTATGCAGTTGAAAACAACTCACAACAATTGCACCTGGGAAATGAAACTCACTAAATTTGAAAAATATGATGAGACTACACCTGTATCCAGCACAAGCTGGAATCAAGATTGCCGGGAGAAATATCAATAACCTCAGATATGCAGATGACACCACCCTTATGGCAGACAGTGAAGAGGAGCTAAAAAAGCCTCTTGATGAAAGTGAAAGAGGAGAGTGAAAAAATTGGCTTAAAGCTCAACATTCAGAAAACTAAGATCATGGCATCTGGTCCCATCACTTCATGGGAAATAGATGGGGAAACAGTGGAAACAGTGTCAGACTTTATTTTTTTGGGCTCCAAAATCACTGCAGATGGTGATTGCAGCCATGAAATTAAAAGACGCTTACTCCTTGGAAGGAAAGTTATGACCAACCTAGACAGCATATTAAAAAGCAGAGACATTACTTTGCCAACAAAGGAAGGTCAAACAAATGGTTTTTCCAGTGGTCATATATGGACGTGAGATTTGGACTATAAATAAAGCTGAGTGCCAAAGAATTGATGCTTTTGAACTGTGGTGTTGGAAAAGACTCTTGCGAGTCCCTAGGACTGCAAAGAAATCCAACCAGTCCATCCTGAGCAAAATCAGTCCTGAATATTCATTGGAAGAACTGATGTTGAAGCTGAAACTCTACTACTTTGGCCACGTGATGGGAAGAGCTGACTCATTTGAAAAGACCCTGATGCTGGGAAAGATAAAAGGCAGGAGGAGAAGGGGACCACAGAGGATGAGCTGGTTAGATGGCATCACTGACTCATCACTGGCATGAGTCTGAGTAAACTTTGGGAGTTGGTGATGGACAAGGAGGCCTGGCATGCTGCAGTCCATGGGGTCGTAAAGAGTCGGACACAACTGAGCGACTGAACTGAACTGATCATCACTGTCCTATGTCATCTTTGTCTCTTATATAAAGCTTCTAAAATACTATGGCAAATGAATGCTGCAATTTCCAGTCTTTATAGGCTCATGACAAGAAATATAGAATCCACTATTCCTAGATTAGAGATCTGATCATGTCACATTCCAGCTTGAATATTTTCTGACTTCTCACTGTCAATTTTAACTATACAGAATACACAGATCCTTTAAGACACAGAAGGTACAGCAAACAGGACCCTTCAAAATGTGAACCCTTGTTTATAATCTTCTACTACCACTATCTATACATACTATTCTCTGGACATTTTTTGTGCCTTTGCACTACTTATAATGCCTTTCCCAGCCTGGAGAAATTCTTCATTATCACTTTGAGTTCAAATGTAATCTCTGGTCCCCTCCAATTCCACACATAATTATTTATGCATTTATATTCTGCCATAATTCAAAAGATTTAAGGACACTCCCATTTCTCTCATCAGCTAGACATTCCATAATACCTTCTTTATATATTGTCATTATGATCCTTACTCACAAACACTGAAATAATTTGTTTATATGTACATCTGGCCCACTGGATTCAAACTAAGAATTCAGTTTTATTACTCTTTGCATTACCATAGTACTTAACGAGTTGCCAAGAACATAGTAGGCCTATGAATAAATTTTTATTGATTGATAAGTCAGTTGAGTAAATGAGGGAAAACAGTACAAGTCTTAAAAAGATACACACTTCATACACAATATCTTCCAAAGGAACAGTAGACTGGATTTAAGCAAAATATGCAGTAGTTCTAGGGAAAAAAAACCTATATCCAACCTTGAATAAGAAACTTTTCCTTTGTTCCTAAAGATTACAGTTCAATCAAGAAGTAAACTAAGGCATCAGAAGAAAATGCTGACACATGGAGGTTTATCGCATTCTGTTCAACAATCATGTATTGGTCACTTACACAAATATTACTGTGCTAAGGACTTATATAAATATAAATATTCTTTCTCTTAACGAAAGTTAGGGAGGTCTAAAATGATTCTTACAACATATTAGTTTGTGGTTTAAAGGGGGAAAAGGTGACAGAATTATATTACGTCAGTTTAGCTGTCTATATTAAAGATAAAAACCACGTGCTGAGGCATCTGAGGGAGAATCTCAGTAAGCAGAATGCTATTTCAGGCAGAAGGGAGAGAGTATTAGAAAGACACCGAGAACTTATTAAAAGTTAGTAGTTGTGAGACAAGAGATGGGAGGAAGGGGCAGCAGAGATGATGCAGATGGAACAGTGGTCACGACCAGACTAAGAAGACTGAACTACTGTAGAGACTCTTTATCTCTAGATTTTCCTGAAAGATTGCAGGGAAGCAGAGGAAACCGAGGCGTAAAGAGAAGTTAAACAGCTCACTCAAGTCCACAGCACTAATAAACTGTGGAAGAGATGAGACTTGAACTGATTTTCCTTTAACTTCAATACAAATTACCACCAAATACATATGCTGTCTAAAATACCATCATACAATGATTTTTGCCAGTTAATAATTCTATATTCAAAACCACTGCAAAAGAATCCTTAAAATACTGTTGCATATATACACTCTTTAGTAGTAATATAACATGCTGATGAGAAAAAGCAAGTTACCCTAAAAAACCCACAAAAATTTATAAATTACTTTAAGCAGCTCATGTTCTGCCCCCTTCTCCCAAATTTTTTTTTTTTTGTTTTTTTATTTAAAGTTTAGAAAAATGAATGAAACAATTTTCATGAATAAACTTATCAGTAAAAGAATAAAAGGAATGTGCAGAGATAGCAACCATAACTTTATTTAAAAATATTACTAGAATATTTAATGTACTTCAAATAAATTCTGTGAGCTACTGGAACATGAGATAATTAAGTTGAAGTTCATTATGCATAAGGAATTTCTTGTATTTGAAAAATATTCAAATTATATTCACAAATATCTTAGGAAAACTAAAGATTAAAGAGGAAGAAAAGTGCGACTATATCAAAACTCTGATTTACTCAAATTTCGAACTATGTAATAATAATATCCATCATTTTATTTATACATGAAACATCCACCAATGTCTAATTAAATGGCACTAACAATCATTGCTTCCAAATATTTAATATCCTAACTCATGTATTGACTTTTTATGCTAATGAGTATAAAAAGTTAAGCTGCAATTATTTTTCTTAGTATGTTAATATTTGCTCTTAAACAGAAAACTGAGTAACTCATGGCTAATTTATCATAAAGGCTTTGTTTAGCTCAGATAGTCATTCTAAATATGTACCATTTTCCCTTTTAGTTTTACTATGCATTTTCAAAACACTATAATCAGTAGATGAAAATGTTACAAGTTTCATTCTAAATCCACTTGTCTATGCATATTTTGGATTCATCATACTACTAATCTCACAGAAATGACATGGCTCATATATGCAAATCCATAGAAACTATATGCTTCTAATATACTTTACCAAACACTAGCTACACAGACTGCTGTCAAATGCAGGTTTTATCTTTAAAAAACTACTCTGTATAATACGATTTACCTGGAAGAACAAAAATGTACACTAAACATACTGCATTAAATGTTTATAATAATCAAATGTAGGTACTACCAGTTAAAACGCATTAACTGGGTACCTAAGATGAAGCCAAGATCATGTCATCCCTCCCAAGTTAGTGTATGTATCATAAGCTTAAGTTTTAAACAGTAAACATCAATCTCAGCATATATCTAGGAAAAATCATATAGATACCAAAGACATAATTTTCACAGTTTAAGTTTCTTCCATTTTTAGATAGCATGTGCCTTAGGCTCAAAATTTCACGACTCAGTACAGTCAGTCCAAGCTCTATATGCTGGAATCCACTGCTCTCCTGTTTCTTACAAACCATATTCCACACTATAAGCTGCTCAGCCATGGAATATGTTCTGTTTACTAAGATGGAAAACAGCAAGATGCACAGCAATATTATACAACTTTTCTCAAAGATGGTAGGAAAGCAACTATACATCAATAAAACTTTTTTTAAAAAGATGATAGCAGTAGGGAATAGGGAATAAGAATCTACTATTTGTATATGCTTAATATTTAACATTAAAATATGTTCATATTTTCTTGTAGACATTTTAGAAGGATACTCACAATCTAATATAGTGATAGAAGGAAGTAAGGATCTGGGCTGAGAGGGGACAAGAATAAATTAAAGAGATAATTTGCTATGTAAAGATTTCTAGTTTTTACAATGTGATAATACAGAAGAAGAAAAAGATAACAGGCATGCACAAAGATATACAACTGACTTCCTTAAAAAAATAGAAAAATTAAGATAGGTCTGATTAAGTTGTGATGCCTAAATGAGCTCTCAAGTATTGCAAAAATATTTCGTATTAAAAAGTTCCTCTCACTATTCCTAGAGTTTTACCCTACAGAGAGAAAAAGAAAAACTGAAGGACTTCCCTGATGATCCAGTGATAACGACTCTGTGCTCCCAATGCAGGGGACATGGGTTCGCCCCTGGTTGGGGAATTAAGATCCCACATTCTGTGCAGCATGGCCAAAAAATTTTTTTTTAATTTTAAAATAAAGTTAAATTGAATTACCCTCTTGAAGTTTCTTTAAATTAAGTCATATGTCCCTCCTTTCATTGTCTTCCTCAACATTCTCTTTTTTGGTCTTCATGTGCTGAATTCCTCAAAGGCTTTTCTCTATCACAAGTTTAGGAACACAAGAAACAGATTCTCTTCCTACAGTACCTAATACCTATAACATTAGATCAGGGACCTCACCCAAGATGGTACAGTTTCATCAAAAGTCCAGATCTATCATTAAATGCAAAGCCTAAATTACACCCTGCTGTTATCTCAAACGCACCCTCCCACTTGTTCATCATGCACTGAACTCTGCCCAGCAAGTGCCAAGCTATCAGGGCTTATAT